GCAGCACATTAAAATGATGAACTGTTTTTCCAGATCAGCTTAATCAGGTAGGGGAGTAGAAATAATTGGAAAGGAACTAGTTGAGGCAATGGGAAAGGAGTGAAGGAGGGTACTAACAACATGAGTCGGCCAGCTCACTTGGCTAATCCTCTGCCTGCGGCGCCAGCACCCCAGGTTCTAGTCCCGGTTGGGGCTCCGGATTCTGTCCCGGTTGCTCCTCTTCTAGTCCAGCTCTCTGCTGTGGCCCAGGAAGGCAGTGGAGGATGGCCCAAGTGCTTGGGCCCTGCACCCGCATGGGAGACCAGGAGGAAGCACCTGGCTCCTGGCTTTGGATGGGTGCAACGTGCCGGCTGTAGCGGCCATCTTGGGGGTGAACCAATGGAAAAGGAAGACCTTTCTCTCTGTCTCTCTGTGTCTAACTCTGCCTCTCAAAAAAAAAAAAAAAAAATGAGTCAAGGGTGGAGATGACCCCAAGATTTGTGTCTTAAGAGAATAAATAGGGATTTAAGGATGGGAACAGGTTTAGGAGAAAGATAATGAGTTCAGTTTCAGTATTTCAGGCTTCTATGTCCAGATGCATAGATCTGGTCTGAAATACAGATTCCAGAATAAAAACTTTGAAACAGTAACTGAAACCATGAAAATATAATTTTAAAAACCTGCAGAAAGAATCATCTTTTTAAGATTTACTTATTTATTTATTTGAAAAGCAGAGTTACAGAGAGACAGAGGCAGAAAGAGAGGTCTTCCATCCACTGGTTCATTCCTCAAATGGCCAAAACAGAGCTGGGCTGATCCAAACCTAAGAGCTTTTGCTGGGTCTCTCATGCAGGGTCAGGGACCCAAGGACTTGGGCCATCTTCTATTGCTTTCCTAGGTCAAAGCAGAGAGCTGAATCGGAAGTGGAGCAGCCGGGTCCCAATCTGGCACCCATATGGGATGCCAGCACTGCAGGTGGCAGGTTTACCTGCTATGCCACAGCACCGTTCTGAAGAAAGAAATCTTGACAACTATACTACTTAAAGGATCAGCCAAGTATCATAGGCCACAGGGATGAATGAACCAGAGAAATAAGTTTAAAAAGCACAAGTGGTATGGTCCCAAAAGTAAAGTGGGGAAGTGGTCAAAATGCCTGTGCTACTGAGATTCATAGAGATGATTATGTAAAGCAAGACTTATTCATCTTTTGTATTTTTTTATGTTGAGGGCTACTGTGTGTCTCATATTCAGAACTCAATAAATGTGAATTCTATGTTGTTTTCATTCCAATACCTGCAAGTCTCACACCAACATTGTTAGAGTTGTAAAAAAGGCAGAAAGGATTTATGACAGCATTTCAAAAAGTTCATATATAAATGAGATTAAAGATAACTTATCCTAGCACAAAAAAATTTTGAAATCTAAGCAGTTTTTGCACATGTATTTTCCATAACTTTCAAAAGACCACCTGTGTACATGAATTTTAAAAATATTGTACCAAAAATGTAATTTTATTTTCTTTATTTGAAAAGCAGAGAGAAAGAGAGAGGAAGGAGAGAGTGAGAGTGAGAGAGAGAGAGAGAGGGAGAGAGAGAGAGAGAAAATCTCCCATCTGCTGTTTTACTCCCAAAATTCCTGCAAAATCTGAGCTGGAAGAGTCCAGAATTCAATCTGGGTCTCCCATGTGGGTGACATGGACTCAACTACTTATGCCATTATCTGCTGCCTCCCAGGGTACACATTAGCAGAAAGCTGGAATGGAGAGTGCAGCTGGGATATAAACCCAGGCACTCTGATATGAGATGCATGCATTCCAAGTGGTGGAGGCTTAGCTGCTGTGTCAAAAGCCAGCCCCTAAACTTGTATTTTAATCCTATTTTTCCACAAACACTTTTGAATTGCTCTCACACAGGAAGGAAAGAAACAAGGCGGGGGGATGCAACAAGTGAGGGAAGGAAGACATTTCCCTCCCCCAAAATGTTCCATGCAGCCCTCATCAGTCTCGCTGAAAATCATCCTATAAAGAAAGGTACACTGATATTTTCCCATCCCTCACCTGTCTGTGTGATACTGACTCACAGCAACCGTAAGAATTCAGATTTCCCTGGTGCTTGCTCCTATGTGGGAATGCAGCACTACCAGCTTGTTGAGAGTTGCCTCCCCACCAACCACCACCTCAACAATGTCTAAAGTCCAGGACATATCTCACAGGTGCCCAGGAGAGAATGCTGCCATTTTTCCATGAACTCTTACTGGTCAGTTCAGTTCCCATCCTGCTACTTTAAGAGATACCAGTGTCTCCTGCCAGATGCCACTGCTGACCCCTCTTTTATCACCAGCTCTTGGTGTCCCATCAGGTGCCTCACCAGCTATTATTCTTGCATTAGGCTGCTGACGGCTTCTGCCAAGCACCATCACTAAGCAGCTATAGCCCTGAAGGTGTCCCAGGTTCATGGTTATCTGCTGGGGGATGTGCCCAATCATCTTTGTTTTACCATCCATTACAGGTGCCCAGAGCAGTGTTTCTCCTGTTGCCACTGTCTTACAGACCTGAGTGGAAGAACTCTTTATTTTTGTTTTCACTTAAAAATCTCTTTCTTGTTCCTAGATTCAGACATGGATTAGTGTTATATCTATCTTTTCATATTTGTCCATGCATTTCAAAAGCTTTTTTCTTAAGTATGTGGTGTCAAAAGTGCTTAATTTAAAAGTCAAACCAGGAGGCAGCACTGTGGCATAGCAGGTAAAGCCACCACCTGCAGTGCCGGCATCCCATATGGGTGCCAGTTCAAGTCCCGGCTACTCCACTTCCAATCCAGCTCTCTGCTATGGCCTGGAAAAACAGTAGAAGACAGCCCATGTCCTTGGTCCCTTTCACCCATATGCCTGGTTCCTAGCTTTGGATCGGCCAAGCTCTGGCCCGTTGTGGCCATTTGGGGAGTGAACCAGCGGGTGGAAGAATTCTCTCTCTCTCTCTCTCTCTCTCTCTCTCTCTTTCTCTCTGCCTCTGCCTTTCTGTAACTCTGCCTTTCAAATAAGTAATAAATAAATCTTATTTTTAACGAAGTTAAACAGTGAGAATGAACAAAAGACAACTGAAATGGGCTATTAATCATCACAATCATTCCAGAAGCCATTTTACAACGGGCTCATTGGGGACATTGCTAAAGATCAAAGACAGTCTCACGTTCAGTTCTTTAGTCTGGTGTCCTACCATTACCATAACACAGTTCCTTCCTCTATCTCTGATCATCTCTGGACCTCGTTCTACTTCTGCTTCAAATACCAGGCTAAAGACTTTCTCCTCAGACCTCAAGGCCAAATTCCCAGGGAAGAAATGGATTGCTCAAACGAATTACCATTGTTCCTGTGTGAACATGTGTCAGTACATCTCATGGACTAGTGATCCACCTTTGGGCCAGCACTGGCCACTAAGTTGTGCCATGTGGTATCAGCAAGAGGACATGCAGCAGGGAGTTCCTGGGGTGGGGGGCACCATAGGAATGGCAGGGAGGCACTCTCAGGCCTGATCTTCCTCTACAAAAGATGAGATTTCCCATACCCAGTAACCTTCAACAAAGATAATGTATCGGGCACATAGTGAGCTCTCAAATATTATTTTTAGCTCCATGGCTTAAAAAATACATCTGATTTTCTTTATATGACATTTAAGATAGACCTCAACTTATCTTCAGGTTTATCTGTTAGGTAGGAAGTTAGAAATTAGCTTATGTGTATGAGAGGAGTCTAAGAAAAACAAAGCATCCACATAAGCTCACCTTGGAAGCAGCCCAGTATTTTACAATACAAAGTCCTGCTCACATCGCAGTAACCTTACAGGTGGTCTCAGTCTTCCACTGGGAAAGGCTCCCCAGGAGAATCCTCTCTCCTCAGCACCAAATGGGTTACCTGGTCTGATAACACTAAGCAATAAAATCTTCACAACCTTCCTCCAAGGCAGGCACCCTAGGGGAGCCTCCTCTATCCAGTGCCAGGTGGGCTCCCCCGTCTGATAGCGCTGAGTGGTGAAACCTTGGGAAGAATTTCACCTAATTCACACTCAGCAAACCCCTTGTCCTGGAGAAGGAGGAGAAGGGGGAGAAACAGCAAGAAGAACTGGACCCCATTCCCTTATAGGCCCCAGTCTGATGATATAGTTCTTTCCTGAGCCACCCACCTGCTGGCCTGCCAGGTGTATGCTCTCCATTTAACCTTGTAACCTTGGCTTCGCCAGTCTGAATGGGCACTCTTTCTCGAACTCTGACCCACCTGTTCGTACGGGTGCCTTACCCCATTAAACCTTGCTACTTTTCTTACCACTGCTCACTGTCTCACATCTGAATTCTTTCTTGTGCAAAAACAAGAATCTACCCCACCCATCTCTGCTAACATATCTATTAATTTATGTATTTTTCCAGTGTTATCTATTAATTTCTTTTTCCTCTGAACTCTCTTTATAGCTAAGGCACTAATAATATGCCTGGCAGTTTTCCAAGAGTGTTACATGAATTTACACTTAATCCTCATAAGACAAACTTCTGTTATTATCTCTATTTTACCAGCAAGAAAATTGGCACAGAGAGGTCAAGTAACGTGTACAAGGTTGAACAGGAATATGATGAATTCACGTGTAAATTCTGATATGCCTTCAAGCCCCAAGACTGAAATACCAAGCCATACTGTCTCTCAAAAATCAACATTATTAACATAACAATAAATAATAGGTATTATGAGTGCTTAGTGTTTGCTGTCAGGCCTCAGAACACAAAATCCCACATTATAATGTTTTGGCGTGCTGAATGCCAAGAGCTGAAGGAGGGGGCCTCCGAAGCACTGTAACCTCCCAGCAGCAATTCTTCTCAGGTCTCCCCAGGCAGCTCAGAGAAATGAATTTCATTTCCTGGAGGTGGGTGAGAAAAGCCAGAATTCCTCTCCCCAAAGCATGTGATAAAACCTAGAAAAGTAACTTTGTGCCCTTCTTCTGCCTTTCGGTCACAAAGGAATCCCGGGACCTACCTCACCTGAAAGAAGGTGGCCAGACCCCTATTCCAGGAGTAGGCTGGAGACCATGAGGATCTGAACCAAAAGGCCTTGCTGGGATCCTCCAGCAGCGTATCGCCATCAGATCCGGCTCTTTGCGTCCAGTCACCTTCTCCACAACCATCTGCTTTTATCAGACTGCGGGGTCTTCATTCTTGAAGACTGGCCGGTCACATAAAACTTCGTTAAGTTTGATATGCTTTTCACTTGTTCGTCTTTTTCTTTTTTTTAAACAGGAGTGTCAGCCACGAACCTGCCACACAGTGGGTGGGCAAAGGGCTCCCTGTACACGGAGTCAAATTGAGATCAGCCCTGCTGCCAGCCTGAATAAGCAAGCCTTGCAAGACCACGCACCAGACCCCACGCCACAACACTGCCTCTAAGCTGCGCTCCGCAGGCTCTGGCGAGTTTCACCTTTATTCTGACTCAAGTAAGCAGATTTTCTCCTTTTCCTTGATTGCTTCCTGAGCCCGTGAATTACTGGACGTAGTGTCTACCAGAGGAGATTTCTAGTTGCACTCCAGCGCCGCCTGAGAACATAGGCTGAGTGGTAACCGGGTTTGGGACGAGTTGGTGCTTTCTTTACCGCTCGATACCTCGATTCGGGATGACGTTCCGCGTGCATCAGCTTTGCTCAGCTTCCCACCACTCCTGAGGGCCGCCTTGAGCTTAGCCAACCTCACAAGTCCCTCCTAAGTGCGTGACTCCAGGGAGAAACCAACCCTGGGGCGCTGTTATGCCTCTTCCTGTTACTCTTTTCCCCCTGAGTTTTCAAAATACAGCGACCACTGCTTCTAATTAAACAAGCGAAAAGGGCAAAAGCCCGCTCGCTTCCGCCGGTCCGGTTCTGTGGTGTCAACTCTCCTCAGTGGCGAGGAGAAACCCCTGGCGCCGCCACATCGCGGCGCTCGAACTGCCCGCGCCCAGACCGCGGGCCGGGGGCGGGGCCACGCGGCGTACTGACGTCAGAGAGGGCTGCGACGCCGCCGGGGCCGCGCGGCGTTGACGGCGGTGGCCGGTGTGCGAGCGGGGCCGGGCCTGGGCAGCCGTGGCGCCGTAGGGCCTCGCGCAGCGTCCGCGGGCTCCGGGGCGGGGGCTCCAGCGGCGAAGCCCCCTCCCCGGGGAGGCGGGGCCTGGGCGAGCTCCGGAGCCGGGAGCGGCGGCGGCCGGGAACGATGCATCAGAAGCTGCTGAAGAGCGCGCACTACATCGAGCTGGGCAGCTACCAGTACTGGCCGGTCCTGGTGCCTCGCGGCATCCGCCTCTACACCTACGAGCAGATCCCCGTGTCCCTCAAGGACAACCCTTACATCACCGACGGCTACCGGGCCTACCTGCCCTCCAGGCTGTGTATCAAAAGGTATCGTCTGGCCGCCTCCGCCCGGCGCGCCCCTGCCCCTCGCCTACCCCCTTTTTGTCTGCTTTCCCTGCCGCCTTCCCCGCGTTGCCCTGTGCCCATCTTCCTCGCCACCGGTCCTTTCATCTCTTTCTGCCGCCCCCCCTCTTCCTCGTTATCTCCTCCTCCAAGCCCGTCAGGGCACTTGATCCACGGAATAATGATGGTAGTGAGCGTGATCATAATTACCACCTCTCCTGTGGCTGTTTGCTGCTTACAAAGCGCTTTTCCATCCTTTATTCCATGTGGTACCCATTGGGATACGTGTTGGAAGCAACCCCACTGACAGTGGCGGAGCTGTATTTGCCCTGCCTCTACCTAAGCTTTGTTTCTTTTTGGCACACCCCTATGGGAATTCGGAAGCTTTCGGTCGATCAGTGCGTGTGTCATAGGAAACAAGTTCACGTTGCCATCCATGTGTATTTAGAAAGCCCTGATTTCATTCATTTCTCAAATACTTAGGGAGCTCCTGCTAGGTGCTAGGCACTGAACCAGGTCCTGCAAAAAAAAAAAAAAAAAAGACCAGCAGACATGACCCTTGTTCTCATGAAGCTACCAGAGTCTGGCCTGGGTGACAGACATTAAAGGGATAGTGACACTATTACATAACAACATTGTGGGAAATGCTGTACAGGAAAAGCACTGTAGCAAGGAGAGCCCGTAACGGAGCATTCAACCTCTGCTCAAGCCCCAAAGAAGCGTCTCTCTGAAAGGAATTCCTTGATCATTCTAAACCTTCAAAACCAGAGCCCCTTGAAAACCATGTTTAAAAATAAAAAACAGAGCTGAAAATCTGTTCGGATTTTTAGAATAGCATTCGGTAAAAACACTGTGTGCTGACATACAGTACCCTTTAAGGTTCAGATGTTGGTTAGCTCCAGATCACCATGGTGGCAACCCCCAGTGCAGGAATGTGGGCTCCGGAACTGCTCAAGCAACATCCATATGTCTGATTCTTGACCATCTTTCCAGCGTGGCCTTTCCCCATCCTCCCCTTGTCCTGCCTTGAAAACGTCTCTGTGACTCACAGTCACAAGTTGACATCACTGGCGGTCCCTACTTGGCTTGAATGGATGCCCACAGGACTTCACAATTTGAATTCTAGTAACTACTTCCCAGAGTCTCTCGCATGAGTAATTTCACAAGATATCAGAGCCAGGCCCTGTTTTGATGTGGAGTTCCACAAGGATAGGGCAGGCAGTGAACTGCCATAGATATTTTATACCCACCTAGAAATGATCCTCTACCAATATTAGATTCCATATCTCATGGAGTGAGAAGTGAAGAATTGTGCATTAGATCTGAGCTGCTAAGTCACAAAGACTTGGGTATTCAGATCTGCGACCAAACAGCTGTGCGATCTTGAGCCGAAGTTAACTGTTTTGAGCCTTATTTTTTGCCATTTGTAAAAACAAGTTTCTATTCGTCAACTTTTTGATAATAAAATGAAATTCCCAACACAAGGTACTTCAGAAGGAAAGAGATTTATGTAACTCAGAGTTGGAAGGTTGAAGTTCAAAATCTGGTGGCCTCATTGGTTGAACCATGGATGGTGAGGACTATAAATGACAATGATAGAGCCCTTTGTGGAGGAAAGTCACACTGCTCCCAGGAAGCAGAACAACAGGGCTCAACTTAGGCTTTTATAATCAACTTCTGGTGAAAGCTACCTTCCAAGAGCGTTTCTCCAGTGACATAAGTACCTCCCACTAGTCCCAACTTGTAAACACCATACATGCTGTTAGTGCCATTAATGTAAGACTTTGGGGCTTTTTTAAATTCTGCATGAATCCTGGAGCCAAATCATGCTCAAACCACAGCAGCAGATGATCACACCACCTGCTTCACGTGGTATTAGGGGCGAATGAGATTGTGCATGTAAAATACTACAAAAGACCTCGCACTTAATAAGTGCATAGTGATTGATGGCTCTTAGCATCAGCAGCAGTGATTTCAAACAGATGATATGAAGCTGATGATTGATTTTAAAGTTGACCAGAGTCTGGGACAACTTCTCATGTGACAAATGCAGATCATCCACTGGGGACATTCTTCCAGGTGCTCGTCCTACTACCTTGATCTTTTCCAGGTTCATCCTTTACTGTCTTTTAAGCTTTCACAAGTGATCAAGACATATTTTGGATATGAGAGGAGCTGTTCTTGGTCAAAACAACCCTGCCAACAATACCTCTTGATGCAGTTAATCAGGTTATACTGGTTTTCACTTAAAAGTTCTGAGGCAATAGAGTATAACATTGACTGTCAGAACAATTCTGGATGTTTTCCAGCACACTCCTGCATCCCTTCCTCCAACTCTAAGTAGTCTATCCTTGATGTGAGTACAGGATAAAGTTTGAACTTCATGCTACTTGATCACTTGATCATTGATCATTTGCACCCTTGCTATGTTTATCACTTGAGAAATGGAAAAGGGCGAACCATGGGCAACTGCTGCAAATTTAGTAGATGAGAGTGACACGTTAATGCTTACCAATAAGGATTTCTGAGTCAGTGAAGCATGTTAGTGTAAACACAAAGATTGGTTTTTCAAGAATGTTTTACTCTTTAGTCATGAAATCAGTTTTCAGTCAGTTAATCTGATGCATCCTTTCCACATCTAGAGAACCATTTCACAGAGTTATGGAAAGAGCTGGAAGGACATTAAGGCAGCATCTGATCCAGCTCTGTTATTTTATAGATGAAAAAACTGAGAGGTGAAATAACTTGCCCCTGATTGCAGAGCTAATCTGTGGCAGGAGCTGGGAACAGGACAATAAGCTTGCTGATTCCTGGCTAAAGTGACACACTCCCCACCGACCTGTGCTGCCAAGACCAGTTAGGGCATTTTGAAAGAGTGCAAATAGTACCCATATTTAAAGTAATTTCCTGTTGTTCCTAAAAGCCTAAACTTAGAAACTAGTTTGCTTTCAATACATCCACAGCAGTTATCCCAGCATATCCATCTCAAAGAACCTTTCCAAGTCAGTTCTCATGGGTCACTTTATTTATTCTGCTTCTTTTAAGTCCATGTAACTTTGCATTTGGATGAATACTTACAAAGGCATTTTAAGAAACTGACAAATTGCATGAGCAGCTTCCCAGGTAGCTAGTATTTTCAACAGTATTCTAAGTAACATCTAGTTTTCACTTGCCCATTTAATGCGGTAGACATTTGGAGAATAATCTGAGCAAGGCACTGTGCTTGGATCACCAATGTCATGAAGAGGAATGCTGCTGGCCAGCAGGGAATTGATAGGTTGGAGGGAGATAGCATGGAATCTACACACAAATAACGCCAACAGTAGGGGGAACATGGTAAGTATAATAGGGCTGAGCCAGAAAAGCTTTTAAGATCCCAGGGTTGGTGGAGGTACGGAAAGACTTAAAGACTAATTAACTTAAATGATACAATAAAATGCAGAAAGGTACAGACAGGGTTAAGGGCGGAGAGCAGAGAGCAGTAGTAACTCCCCAAAGTTGTCCTGAATCTTTGAATGCTGACAGTGAGCCAGTTGGAATCTGAGCTGCATATTTGTTTATTTTTCCAGTTTGTTTATTTTATCTAATGAGACGGTTAACATCTGGAGTCATTTGCTGGGTTTCTTTCTCTTCTTCACCCTGGGAATATATGATATGACATCTGTGTTACCCTCGGCAAGTGCATCCAGAGAAGATTTTGTAATTTGTTCTATTTGTCTTTTCTGCTTCCAGGTAAGTTATTTCACAAACACTGTTGTTGGTAAAGAGAACTTTGTAAGACAGCCTGGGAAAGATGAACTTACTTCAGACCCACTATTTGTTTTAAAGCAAATGACACATCGGTCAGCTTATTCATTTTCATAAGCATCAAAAAAAGTCTGTTATTATAGGATTGTATTTGGATATTGTTAAGAGAGGATATTTGAAATCCAGTAAGTTTTAAAGATTTTGGGAAAATTAATTTTTATAACATTTTCAAGAATTTCTGTTTTAAGCTTAGCACAAGGGTGTAAATTTCTTATTCTGTTCTATTTGAAATAGAATACTAGTGTATACTTAAAACTTGGAAAGATTTCTTATCTCATCTGTATTTATTAATATGCTTGTGATTTTACTGTGTTTGTTTTGCTGGTATGATCTTTTGTTCTTTTGCTTTAATGTTAGTTTCCTTTTACAGTTGCCTGATTCCAAATACTTTCAGTTTCTTTTCCTCTACCGCCTGCATCTGTTAGTTTTGTAGCACTTAGATTTTTCTTCAAGAATTCATAAAAATGCCTTTACGAGTTATATTTAGTCATTTTTCAAACAAGTTATCTGAAATCAGCAAACATTTTCTATAATCCTATTGACGTTTTTAAAATTAAAAATACAGAGTACAGAAAAACAGAAAGAAAAGCCTTCCATCCCCTTTCCTCCTGACAGACACAGACCACCATTCTGTGCACTTAACCTCTTGCTACCTAGTTGGAGAGGTAAACCTGTCAATCCACCGCACAGATGTTGCTATCATTGCATTTCATTCAGACCTTCATTTTACCCAAGTTCAGACTTTGTATCCAAATGACCAAGATGCACATCACAAACACCATTTTTCTTCTTTTTCTTCCAATTCCAATTTCTGCAATAATATGAATAGTTTAAATTTATTTGAGGGAAATGATGCTCTGTATTTTTGTGTTATTTGACAGTTATTTTTTTCCTGAAATATTTTCTAAAGTATACTTTCTGTTGTTTAACTTTTGTCCTGCTTAGAGCCAGAATATTTCCTAGACTACAACCCTAGTTTTACAATGGCAATGAATTGATTTCTTTATAGTTAAATTTTTTTTAGATTTATCTTAGCTTGAACTAAGATGATCTTCATAAGTAAAAACTGGTTCATGTTAATTACATGACTGTTATCTACTTTAAGAATCTTCTGTGTTTTTCTCCACCTGCTATACCTGCCCTTATTCCTGCCATAGTTGATGTTAGGTCAGAGAACCCATGTTAATTTCTTCACTGGCCTAAGAAATTAATGTATTGCAAAACTAAAATGATTAAATAATAATGACAATTGCTGATGAAGAAACAGCCCTAAAGTCATGGTGGCTTCCACAGGGTTATGCAGCAGGACCTTAAAATCCTGGTCTTTCCATTATACACTGTACAACTTGAAAAATTCAAATGAGCTTCCACTTAAGGAGATTGTCTCTTATCTTTTTCTTTTTATAAAATTAGAACTTTTTCACCCACATTTTCCAAATTATTAGGGTAGGCAGCAACATAGTAAACCATAAGTATAATTAGTAATATTGATTTACATTTAATTTTTGAAAAACATAACTTTTTTCTTTCCTGATTTTTCTTTCTGCTCAGTGCTTTCTTCCCAAACAGAGTAGTATATTCTGAATGACAGAATGTAATTCAAGGTTATTGAACCTTCCCAGTGGTTTTTAGCGTTGTTGTTTTGTTTTGTTTTTGTAGTTTTTTGAAGGGAGGATATTTTTGGAGAGGAGTAGCATCTAAGAATGCCGTTTCCTAGATTCAATTCAATGAGTAATCATTGAATGCCTTCTATATGCCCCCAGACCCTATGTTAATACAGTGCTAAATAAAACCAACATGCGCTAACAAGGTAGTCACCATGTAGGAGGTAGAAGAGAGGGAGGCGGGGCGGCAGAAGAGCTCCTTGTATAAGGCAAGAAGCAAGAGCTAGCTTAGCACTTTGTGGACTTGTAAGAATAGGTCTTTGAGTTCGAAACCTAGGGGATAAAGGAGGATGAGGCAGAGCAACAGCCAAGGGCCAGATCGTGATGTATTTTCTTATCAGTCTAAGGAGCTTTAACACTGCCTACATTGATGGAATGAGATATTCCACAGAAGGAGAGAATCTTCCATCTGTTGGTTCACTGCCCAAACGGCCCCAAGTGCTGCCCTGGTCCCCTGGCCCAGGAGCTGCCCTGGGGAAGTGGAGCAGCTGCGGCTGAACTGGCTCCCATACGGAAGCTGGCATCACAGGCAGCGGCTTCACTAACTTTTTGAAAACTTGGGGTTCTCTGTTAATACTTTTTACTTTTCCTTTGATACCATAGTTTTTTCTTTTTCCTCTTTTATGTTCCTTATTTAGAGTAAAATAAGCTTTACTGTTGCTCATGTAGAAATACAAGCAAACAATAAAGTGTAGGTAGAAGAAAGTAAGTTCCTTGATATTACTGCCCACAGGTAACCACATGGGACATTTGGGTTAAAATTCCTCTACACAGATTGTCTACATGGTTGCCTCACTTTTGTCTGCCAGTTTGCACACCTACCTGTCTCCCTGCTTCCAAGCTGCAGTCATCGCTACTTGCTGTTTTGAAGCCTGCTCTTGTGTCATTCAGTCATGACTCTGATCTTTCCCCCTCATTGAGTACACCTCTATGTTCTCTAGATTTATGATGCATAACCCCAAAGATAATTGGAGAAAACAAATAACCAAGTTTCTTAGAGTCATGTATAATTGGGTCAATAATCTTTGTAGCTTAGTATCCAAAAAGTCACAGACCAGTAAGGATTTCAGACAGTGGATGAAGAAATGAAGTTGTGGCTGAGTATCAATATTGAGTCTGTTGGAACTGGTTAAGCTTGATATAAAATAACCAGATGGCCCTTGAACAGTTAGCAGGTGCTTGCAACATATTTATTGACACCTACTTCATTTTGTTTATTTGTCTCATTTTCTGCACACCCACTATCTTTCTGTAGGCTCTTATTGTTCCCCAGGGCTGATCCTATAACCTGGCATCTCAGCCCTTTTAATCTACACACTTAAAATCTTCAGTAATATCCCCAGCCCGTAATACTGAAGTTAAAACCCTTTCATGTATAAGATTAATCATAATACTATCATGAAGAAGGCCAAATGTCCTTAAAGGCTCTGTATTTTTCAGTATGTTGCTTTTCCCTCTGGACCCCCAGAAAACAAGAGCATATCTTTTTTTACTTCCTTGATCAATGCCAGTTCACACTTAAAATCCATCCCAGTTGACAGTCCTTCTATGATGTTCCTTTGCTTCTACCAGTCCCAACTGCCAGTTGTACACATACACCCACAGTGCCAGTACTCTTCCTTCTCCATTTTCTGATTGTCCCCTGCCACTGTTTTGTCATTTGTTTCTACAAAATCTCTTCGAGGGTAGGAGTTTTCTCTTTGTGTCACCATCCAATGTATGACACAGAGCAGGTGCTTGATGACTGGAGAGAATTCTGCCATACAGGTGCTATCAGTCATCAAAGCGGTTGATTGAATCATATTAGCTTTTTTCTCAGTTTGACTTTTTTTTTTTTTTTTTTTGACAGGCAGAGTTAGACAATGAGAGAGAGACAGAGAGAAAGGTCTTCCTTTTTCCGTTGGTTCACCCCTCAAGTGGCCGCTACAGCCGACGCACCGCGCTGATCCGAAGGCAGGAGCCAGGTGCTTCTCCTGGTCTCCCATGGGGTGCAGGGCCCAAGCATTTGGACCATCCTCCACTGCCCTCCCAGGCCACAGCAGAGAGCTAGACTGGAAGAGGAGCAACCAGGACAGAATCCGGTGCCCCGACCGGGACTAGAACCCAGGGTGCCGGTGCTGCAGGCAGAGGATTAGCCTAGTGAGCCGTGACGCCGACTCAGTTTGACTTTGATACAAATCAACAGCTCATGATTATTTTTTCTTGGAGATTGTAAAACTGTGTTAACTTTAGAACTTAAAAGTAAACTCTGTACAGTGCTTCTCATACAGATGTGAAAGGTGAAGTGAAAAAAGCAAATTAAAGAACAAAACAGTGTGATTCCACTTGATAAGAAATGTATATATTTATCATGAGTGTAGACTTCTGTATCACAAGTTTTTTGACAAATGCATTGAAAAGATCTGGAAGGGCACATTATCAGTGGTTACCTGTGGGGTATAGGTTGACTTGTATTTTGTATATTATATAATTAGATATTCATTGAGTTTTTTTTTAATATAAGGACTTGTGCTCTATAACGAATATTTTCTCAAGGTAAACTCATTCATGAATCAAAACAAGTCCAGATGATATTCTTAAAACATTTACATTATATAATTTTTCCACTACTCTACTTTTTACTTATAATTTTTGTATCATGAAATATAGTTTAAATTTCTTTTTGACTGTTATCCCTATTTTATCCATGAAAGAATTGAGCCTTAGAGAAATGACACTGTGTGTTTGACTTAAAAACCCAGGCACTTAACCACTTTATGAGCATCATGCATGAATTGCTTTTATTTATTTTTGTTTATACTTTGTTAAAATTTTTTTTTATTTCCTTTAGGTCTGTATGCTTTGCTCTGTGGGCTATCATCTTTTTTCTTGCCATCGATCAGAAAAAACATGTCGAAGATGGATGGCATTAGATTATGCAGGAATTTCTATTGGAATACTGGGCTGCTATGTCTCAGGAGTATTTTATGCATTTTATTGTAATAATGTAAGTACCTTAAAACATTTCACATTCCACCTTTCATATAAGTCTTGAGTTTTCCTGCCATGGTTCCTTTGAGTCTCTGAATAGTACAGTGTTAGAAAAGTTTTATGTAGACATAAATTCATTTTTCAAAAAGGCCTTGTACTTTCTAACATATAATTTCATATTTATTTTATTAGTTTTTATTGAAAAAATATATAAAGTTGTTCTATAAAATTTAATATAGACATTGAATTATCATTTTAATAAAGATATTTAATTATTGTTTCCACTAAGTCCATATAGCTACATGGTTCCTCAGATAGGCACTTATATATCTTTTATTTTTATGTTTACATGATTGAAGTTAAAGTTAGCACTAGATAAGATTATATAGTTGGCTACTCTTTTCCATTTCCCTTCTAATCCTTTACTCTCATTGGAAAAAAAAAAATAAAGGAGTTAGATCTGTGAGTGTATTGACCCAAACTCTTCTGTGAGAAATATGTTTTCCTTTTTTGTTACATTTGAGAGTAGGCCTAGAGAAAGTCCATATGAGTATGAGTGTTTCTAACAAATATCAAGATAACATGTGTTTATTCTGAGTTCTGGATCAGGTCTGCTGTCTGTCACTAAGGTCACAAAAATCCTTATCACCACGTGTCATAGCCAAGAAGGCAAACTGAATCTTCCTGTGGGTTCAGTATATCTCAAGCTTTTTATTCCAAGTCACCTTCAGCCCTATGGATTTTCTTCTATTCTCCTAACCTTGTCTTATTTTTTCTTATTCTTTTATTTGTCTCCCTTTCAGAGCCAAGATTAAGCTTGTCCTTTAGGAACAACATACTTAATAATTAGTTCTAATCTTATTCACAAGAAATAGAGCCTATTGTTCCCAAACCCACCCCCTACTCCCCACCCTCACCCCTGCACCCCCACCATGTTACAGGTGCTCTAAGCCACAGTCCCCAGCCTTCACATTTGGGGAAAGGTCTGCAGCACAACCTTCCTGACTATTTGGGAGTCTTAAATAAGATCTATATCTATATATAGATATAGATATAATATCTATATCTTAAATAAGATCTATATATTTTTTCCCAATAACAGGGAAAACTGCCAGCATACCTTGTATGTAAAACTAGCAAAGAGAAAAATTAAGCATTTAGTTTGAATGTGTAAATTGTAGCCATTTAAGCATGAGCCATTTGATTTTTTAGGCCTAATAACTTTGGGACACAAGTGTATAATTAAATGTATATACATTAGCCTTGTAAATTGATTGATTTTTATTAATGAACTGCTCCTGTCTGCACAGCTTTCCTAACTTACTCATTTTGCATGAAACTATTTACATCTTTTAAAAAAAAACTAGGGCCGGTGCCATGGCTCACTTGGTTAATCCTCCACCTGCGGCGCCAGCATCCAGTATGGGCGCCGGGTCCTTGGAGGCCAGGTTAAGAACTCTTGTCCTATGCCGGCGCCGCGGCTCACTAGGCTAATCCTCCGCCTTGCGGCACCGGCACACCGGGTTCTAGTCCCGGTCGGGGCGCCGGATTCTGTCCCGGTTGCCCCTCTTCCAGGCCAGCTCTCTGCTGTGGCCAGGGAGTGCAGTGCAGGATGGCCCAAGTACTTGGGCCCTGCACCCCATGGGAGACCAGGATAGGTACCTGGCTCCTGCCTTCGGATCAGCGCGGTGTGCCGGCCGCAGCGCGCCAGCCGTGGTGGCCACTGGAGGGTGAACCAACGGCAAAAAGGAAGACCTTTCTCTCTGTCTCTCTTTCTCTCACTGTCCACTCTGCCTGTCAAAAAAAAAAAAAACAAAAACAACAACAAAAAAAACTCTTGTCCTTTATATCACTAACTTTTGAGCTTGTAGACCAACTTTTCTGCTGCATGGTTTTATAACTAAATATCTCATAGGCCCTTCAAACTTAATACTCTAAAGTGAACATTCTTATACACTCCTATGCTCTCCCTTGTCACACACATACACACACACACCTCTAACCTCGATCATCTTTGCTCATGCTTGTTTAATGGAAGCCACTTAGGGAAGCTTTCAGGCTAGAAACAGTTGAGCCTTTCTCTACTGCCCTCTCCCCCATCCAGTCAGCCTTAAGACTGTAGTTTATTTTATAAATGCCTCCTGAATCTTGTGCTCACCTGGCTCTTCAACAGGATTCCAAGTCCCTTTTCTCTCCTTGAATGAAGCATTCTAATATCTTTCTAGCTGGCTTCCTGTCACCATTTTTTGCTCTACTGATGTCAGTTGTGTTTCTAATAAGTCAGTTTGAAAAATGACTATGCCATCCCATTCTTAAAGTAATCTTGCTGTTCCCTCACTGCCAACATAGTACAGTTCAAAATGTAGCCTGACCACATGCCTGCCTTCTCTCAACTTCAGGCCTTCTCAGCCTTCCTTCTCACAACTTCCCTGCTGTGTCTGGTGGTCCTTTTCTTCAAGAGTTCCTTCTTCCCACAAAATCTGATTCTTTAAGACCTGGTTTAGATGTTGTCTTTCCTGTGAAGCATTTTTTAAGTTATCTGAAGTGAAGTTCATTGTTCTCTTTTCTGTTCTGCAACATTCTGTTCACAGCTCAGTTACAGTACTTATCATTAGATTATAGTTATTTGTATGTCTGCTCTCCCGGAGTCTTCTGAGCTCATTGGGACAGCCCATGGCATAGTTGGTGGTTTTGTTTCTGTGGGGAGCAACTCGGACTAGACTAAGTTACTGGAATTGAGACTTGTTCTATGCATCTGCTCTCCCACAATATGGCGCTGGGAGAGAAGAAAACAGCTTCTACACAGCTGCCTCCAGTTCAGCCAATAAACTGTAGGACTTGCTCCTGACTGGGGGAGAGCAGCGTGCTCGGCGTGTGGGCAGCCGAGTTGGGATTGGCGGGGGAGGACTATAAAGGAGGAGAGAGACGGCATGCACCAGGGAACATCTAAGGGGAACATCTAAGGGGAACATCTAAGGGGAACACCTGTGCAGCCCCTGAGAGAGCCGGCCGGCGGTGTGCCGCTCCCCCGCGGAAGTGGGGAATGTGGCAGGGGGAACCGCCCTTCCACGGAGGTGGAAGGGATGGTAGCCAACCCGGGAAGAACCAGCAGCAAACCCGGGGAGGGCCGAGCAGACGAAAGAACAGCGCAGGGTCCTGTGTCGTTCCTCCACGAAGACGGGGAGCGACATAATGGTGCCGTGACTCGGATAGGAAACCTAAGAGGGAAGAAACGGGAAGAAGTGGAAAATGCCGGAGAGATTTATCACTCACTCTGTAATTTAGTTTATCATCCTAAGAAACCTAACAGTTGTATGCAGCATGAATTTTTTAAGGAAGGGGGACAGTTGTATTTGGAATGTTAACATAGGAGCCTAAATTAATCTTTCCTTTTGTTTATCATAACAACAGAATGAAACTTTGATTTCTTTGCATTCTAGTATTGGCGCCAAGTGTACTTGATCACAGTGCTGGCCATGATCCTGGCAGTGTTCTTTGCGCAGATTCATCCCAATTACCTCACACAGCAATGGCAGAGGCTCCGTTCTATCATCTTCTGTTCTGTTTCGGGATATGGAGTGATCCCCACTCTTCACTGGGTTTGGCTCAATGGAGGAATCGGTGCTCCTATTGTACAGGTAGGTCAAGTGTAAGTGGTATTTTTCTTCTTCTTTTTTTTTGTTGTCTTTCAGTTTTACTTCTTTTCAGTAGAGTGTTAGGAAGTGGTTGGCTCTTGGCCATTTGTAAGCATATTTGTAATTGCACATTGACACCATAATTTTTTTCACAGCTATATAAATAAGTATACTTTGCAAAACTACAGGTGAAGTGACTATTTCTTTCTGAGATGTCTCCCTGCAATCATACATTCTTAGTTCTCTTTCTGCAACCCTAAGTGTGTAAATCCCTGGGTCACGATTTGTTAAGGAGGACTCCAAAGTTTCCATCTCTGTCTGCTGGGGTAGTGGAAAGGCCAATGATAAAGTATAGAAGTACAGAGTGATGAGACATTGTTTTTGTTTGTTTTCTGCTGCACCTGTTCAGTTTGGGTATATATGGCATATAAAGGTAGACCTAGGGTCTAGAATTTAAGCCAGAGTTTGAAAATAATGATAAAGATTTGGAAATCATCCAAGGGAGCATATTCAATCTGCCAAGGAAAATATATTGAAAGTAAGTGAAGAAAACAGATTAGACAACTGCTACTCTAGATTTAATTCTAACCGAAAATGAAGACCTGATTGTTGAAATAGAAATTACAAAATTTTGGATGTGGTGAATATATCCCTTTTAAGCATATAATGTTTAAGAACAATATCTATTAAGCCAGTGGACTTTAAAGAAATTCAGAAAAATATGGGAATGTTTCCATGTTCAGAAATCTTAAAATAGAAATATGACTTTGAAAGACAGTGGCTGTCAGAGATAGAATTCCTCTACAAAGGTACATCAAAAAGTTTGTGGGAAAAATGGAATTAAAAGATAAGTCTTCGGGCAGGGATTTGGCTTAGCAGTTAAGATCCCCTTGGAACACCCTCATCCTGTATCAGAGTACTGAGTCAGGTTTCTGTTCTGCTTCCAGTTCCAGCTTCCTGCTAATGTGCACCCTTGGAAGCTGCAGATAATGGCTTAAGTAGTCCCTCCCACCCATGTAGGAGGCCCAGATAGAGTTCCCAGTCTGGCCCCAGCTGTTGGCACCCATTTAAGGAGTTAACCTGTAGATGGAAGATGTTTCTGTCTGTCTGTCTCTTCCTGTTTCTCTGCTTTTCAAATAAAATGAAAATAAATATTTTTTTCAGAAATAGTGTTTTTTAAAAGATGTTTATTTTGGTACAAAACAATTTTGAAATCCATGTAGTCTTTTTTCAAAATATGCATTTCCATGAGCTCTTTGAAGACCTGTCATATATACTATTTCAAAATATTTTGCACCAAAAAAGCTTTTATTTAATTCATTTTCCACAAACTTTTTGAAGCATCCTCATTTGTACAAGGTATAACTGGCTGATTTTCTCAGGGTCGGGAAAACCTTTCTCACAGAGAATCGACAGTGACCTGGAATGCCTCATATAGTAGTGTGCAGGAGGACTGTTTTCTAGGATATCAGAACAGATTGCTGTCTTGAACAGTTACTTAGGTCGTTTCTAGCCATAAGTCCATGGTCTTTAGCCTGTCTGCCTATTCTCTGCTAAGTCCATTCTCCTACATATTCCACCTACACACCTGCATTGTAGATGGAGTTGGGCACCCTTTGACCATTCAGCAGTATTAAAGCTCTACCCCTGTAGATTAACCTTCAGGGCATTCCCTATGCTCTGTTCCTGAGCACTGCTTTCTGGAGTATAGTCAGCAAGGTTTCTATCATTGGGGACTCTCTGCAGAACCAGTCAGACTTAACCATGAGATTCCACCAAGAGGTTCATAGTAAACTGGGAATTTGGTAATGGTAGGGAGGTCACTGCAAAAGTGTTTTGTTTTGCTTTTCAGGACTTTGCACCCCGTGTACTTGTGATGTATATGATTGCTCTTCTTGCTTTCCTCTTCTACATTTCCAAAGTGCCAGAACGGTACTTTCCAGGTAGGTCTCTCTTGTATAGCAGCTCTATAGCTTGATTCTAAATCATATGCTTGAGATATATGGTTAAGAGCATCTAAACAGACCTTTTTCAGTGTTATTGATTGTAGAATGGTTCTTCCATTTGCAAACATTATCTAAAACTTTAACTTCCAAAGGGCTCCCACAAGCTGTTCCTTTCTTTTTCAAAACAGAAGTTCAGTCTAATAGGTGGGGTTGCCACTGTTCCATGTTTACAAACTGATAACAAGGCTGGCATTAGATTCTGAGAGTCTTCTGTGTCACAGCCATTGTTCTTTTCAAAAAGTAGACCACTAACTATGAACTACCATTTATTTCTTTATATACCAAGTTTGTTCAAAAGTAATTTTTATAAGCAGAGATATATAAAGCAAGAAAAGAAAATATGATACTGAGGAAAAGAAACCAGCTTTAGGAACTCTTCAGATTTAATAGTCCCCCTTTTCTGCCATTTTACTTTTTGAGCTTTTAGTTACCTGTGGTCAACAGTGTTCTGAAAATATTAGTATTTGTTTGAAGAGAGAGAAAGAAATCTATTCACATAACTTTATTAGAGCATATTGTTATAATTTTATTTTAATATTATTGTCAATCTCTTAATATTCCTAGTTTACAAATTAAGCCTTACCATTGGTATGTATGTGTATGAAAAATCTGTATAGACACTATGTATGTATACAAAAAAAAAAAAACTATCCACAGTGTCAGACATTTACTGGGGGAATATATGCCCCACAGATAAAGGGGGGACTACTGTTATGTACATCATAAGTTTCTGTAAAATAGATAAAGACCACAAATCTGGCTTTCAGCTTCCTGGCACCCAGCACTAAGAGTAAAAGCTAATAATCTTCATGTCTTCAAGATACAAACTAGTCACTCAACAGAAGTATAGATTTCTCTGTACCTTGGTCAAGAATGGGAAAATAAAGTTCTGATAGGAAGTAACTAAGAATACTAGTGGAGCCGGCGCCGTGGCTCAATAGGCTAATCCTCCACCTAGCGGCGCCGGCACACCGGGTTCTAGTCCCGGTCGGGGCGCCGGATTCTTTCCCGGTTGCCCCTCTTCCAGGCCAGCTCTCTGCTGTGGCCCGGGAACGCAGTGGAGGATGGCCCAAATGCTTGGGCCCTGCACCCCATGGGAGACCAGGAGAAGCACCTGGCTCCTGCCTTCAGATCAGCGCGGTGCTCCGGCCACAGTGCACCAGCCGTGGCGGCCATTGGAGGGTGAACCAACAGCAAAAGGAAGACTTTTCTGTCTGTCTCTCTCTCTCTCTCTATCCACTCTGTCAAAAAAAAAAAAAAAAAGAATACTAGTGGAGTCAGACTGGTTTCACATCCTACATTGGCCACTTATTGGCTGCTTGAGCTAAGTTACTGAAGCTCATTCCTTTCTAGTTTTCCCATCTGAAACATGGAGAGAATAGGACTACTGGCTCTCCCTGGTTATTTTGAGGAGCAGTTAAGAAAACGCTTGGAAAGTAGCACTGCTCCTAGCAAAAAGTAAGCATGTATAAATGTTAGCAGTTATTATTGTGATGTCGTCCCTAAACCTTGGTCTTATTTTTGAAATATGTGGTTTAGTAAGGGACAGAATGATGCAGAGACAAGGAAGCTTTGGCTTGAGTCAAGAATAACATTTAGAGAACCAAAAAGTGAATTTTTAATTGGAACGACTAGAAGTTGGAGAGCAGCCTTGTCCCTGCCTTCTCCTCGGTTAAGAATCATTTCCACAGTGAATTATGAGATGGGATTGTTGGGGGAAGAGAAAGGACGAGAAGTCATGTACCCCATAGATCCTCAGGCATTCCTCCATGCTTTTGTTTTTTTACCATTATAAAAACAGGAATTCAAATAAGAACCTGAATATTCGAACATTAGGTTTCGGGAACATAAGTCAGACATCGCCCTGAATTAAGGACCATGTATCTTCCAGGAAGGGCCAACATTTTACTCAGAAAATAATTCTGGCAAAAAATATTGTTTTACTTTATTAATGTTTTAACATGCTGTTTCTTCTTCATCACATACAAGTAAAAAATTCAACCATGAAAATTCTCTTCACTATGAAATTAGAACCATATTGCTTTTAAGCTTTAAAATATTCAGGAATTAGCAGTTGTCTAATAGAGAACACCTGCCAAAGATCAAATGTTGTATAACTTAACTTTCCTCCAAGATCCTGACATAAAATGTGCATAATGGGTCTGAATGTGTATAGCTGAATTCAAGTACATGAGACCAGTGGAGATATGGAAGACTGTAAAAAATGAAAAATTTTTAGAGTCAAAATGACAGCCTCAGATGTTCAGGTTAAATGCCTTACAAACCTTCTCCAACCAGTCCTCACATATGACATGACCACAAGAGTGGGAAGTGCAGTGAACACCAGGATATAAACAAAGTTAAATGTTTTCATTCAGATCATGTTAAATTTTTAGAAATAGATAAATACTACAATGAGTCCAAGGATCCCTAAGGTGTCCATGGATAGAACTAAGTGGATCTCTGATACTTGAATTACAAAGTAAGCAATTTTTGTTTGTAATCTTCTGTATTTTCTTTTAAAAGTGGGTCTGTAGGCTTCACTAGACTATTGAAAGAGACTATGGCGCACGTGTGTGCATATGTATTCGCCTGTACAGAAAGAACCTTGTTGATTTAAAAATCTGCTTACTATACTAATGAATATTTTGGTAAGAGGTTAGAGGATAGTTCTGTTATGAACTATGAAAACAGAAGCACCATGAGTAAGAAAAAGTTATTAACATTTAAATTGTTACTCTCCTAGTTCTGCCTTTTGTATTTATTGAGGCAGTTCAAGAAGCTTCCAATCTACTACTTAATCTTGGGATTTGACATTTAATCACAAAGAAATTGTTTGCTGATGTTGCATATGAACTAATCCACCTTAGCTACTCCATTACTAATTATAATATTTTGCAGATTATTTTATCAGAGAACATAAGATCCAGATGTTTTCTCTTTGCATACCTACTTGAAACAAGTGGTTCAACCAGCTTCATATCTCTTCATCTCTAAATACAGCATTTGCTTCTCACAGATTCATACCTAAATCACACCATGATTTAGAAGTAACACTAGTTTCTTTTGTGTCTCACTCATGTTTTTTTCCATTCCATCATGAATTAATACATGAAAAGCAAAAGGTCAAATTCCTGAAATTAATAAACTTAGGTTTTGAAAGCATACTAGGATTAGTATGTCAAAATTCACTTGTGTAGTTGATGAATAAAACCTTAAGAGTAGACCTAGTATGAATTTATCCTTTTCTAAAAACATTTAGATCTGAAATGTTTCTAGGTACTTAGAGACTACCAAAAAGCCAAACTGTACTTTCAAAGGCCAGACAGGAATATATTTTTCTTTTAATATCAAAATATTACAATCAGTATTTTTTCTTTCCGCCTTCCCTTTCAGGACAACTAAACTACCTCGGATCAAGCCACCAAATATGGCATATCCTTGCAGTAGTGATGTTATATTGGTGGCATCAGTCAACAGTGTATGTCATGCAGTATAGACATAGCAAGCCTTGTCCTGACTATGTTTCACATTTGTGAATTCAGGTATGGCCACCTGGTGAATTCAGTTGTTAAGCAATATATAATGGGGAGTTGTATACCCCACTGTTTCTAAGGTTCTCATTAGTTTTTCTTTTTCCTCTTGTTTAATATATCATGAGTAATGCTTTATAAAAATGGAAAAATAAACTTGGGTATCTGTGTAGTAACAATTGCTTTATGGACCCTTAAAACTACTAATCTTCTGCTTATACAGAAAGTGAAGTTTCGTTGGCAATCATAAGAAACATCTGAACAATGAATGTGACACTAGTGCAGAAATAGGATTTTATTTTACTTACCACCAGCTTCGTTTCCTTAGGAAGGGCTCATCTCCATTAGAAAATGGAGTCATCCTGTGTGATTACTTTAATAGAAGATACTTTCAGTAAATTGTCAAATTTAAGTGCCTAATCAAGGCAAGATTGATACGGCCTGTGCTTAGTATTCATATAAGTTAGGACAGTGATTTTGCATAATCACTAGCCATTAAATACATACTTTGTTTGATACTGGCACTTAAGATAGTATTTCCTTTAGTTATACATTCTCTACTCTCTAGCAACACTGGATTTTTTTACTTTGCCAGAACAAAAACTTGCAACTTCTTGTCAAGTTGAGAGGGGTATTGAGAAAAGGAAAAGAAACTTGCATTGTTATTTTCTATCAGATAAGAATCACATTAGATAGTAATTACATGATTAGGCAACAGATTCTATGGTGTAAAACCATAGAAGTCTTTAGCCACCAAAAGTTTTAATTCCAGATACTATTTAATTCCCAGTAATAATTTAATTGCAAGACAGAAAATTTGATTCTGAAATTCCAGAAAAACTTGCTTTTCTGAATTTGTATTCCTAAATTTCCTGATGATGGGGGTTCCCAGCCATATGGCCACGAGTAATTTCAAGGCCATAGGACCCAGATGGCCGTCTTGACCTGGAAGTGCACTTTTAGGCCTTAGAACAAGTCATGCCAATGCCCAGTTGGGTGATGTGGCTATTCACCTGTGCTCTGGTCCTGTTTCTGCATGTTTTATGCATTGCCCTGACAAAGTGCCGAGAAACACTGATACTTGGACCTGAAGTGTTAAACGTACTCCGTTTTGTGTGTACTCACTAGGGCTCCCTACCCCCTTGTATTGTAGTATTTTCATCTGCGTTAATTAAATCCCTTAAAGCAGATTCACAAAAATGTACATCTTTTATTGGAATATAAAATATTATCCAAGTTTCTTCATGAGCATGAACTGCTTTCAGAACACAATTATTGAATATCAGAAAAAAAAGTTGATCCTGGTGAAGTTTATTCCCAAAATGCCTCGTGTACATCGGATACTAGGAAAGCTGCTTTAATGTACCTCAGTTTATGCATCTGTAAAATGTTGTGTTTCTTTCCAGTGCAGTGCTGTTGAAATACAAATTCCATACCCTCACCTCCACCCCATCCCCAAGGCTCAGCAAGGAGCATTTCCCTAGGTAGGTTCAGTCAGGGCATTTTCTGTCATACCCGTTTTTTATGACAGATTGCTACTCTGAAAATGGCTCTCTTACCTCATAAGGCCACAAATTCGATGTTTATGTTAAGTGGTACAAGAGTAGGCGATATTTCCTTTAAAGCATGCTTTGTTGGCCTACTTTTAAATTAATATTTTTGTCATTTTGGCCAAACAGAATACACTGAGTAGTTAACAATCAAGTTAAAAATAAAGTGGAAGTCCAGTTATTTTATGTATGGAACCATTTTTTATTATAAAATCTTCTCCAAATTAAAAAGAAATTAAATTTTTTCAATTTTAAATTCCTATTTTTGTTTTAGTGTATTGATTTAATGCTTGCCATATGAATTAATGCATAGAGTATACTGTATTTTTTAACACCTTTCTTTGATTAAAAGATATACTGTCTCACCGTAGAGAGAATTATGCCATGTAAACATTTCAACTGTTTATGAAAAGGCTAGAATTTGGAAGAGGGCCTCCTCTCATTTTTATCTTTTCTATGTTATATTTATTATTAAGTAGGGAATGAAGGAGTCGATTGCTGTCAAACTATAAGCACTTCTGTATATCCGCCTTTATTGACCACCTACTGTGTGCACAGCACTACTGTTAAAATTTTTAAGATATTGTTAACATTAAAGAACATTTAAAACTTACATACAAATCTGAGCCTTGTATATTTATTTTGTTTTTATAGTTATCAAAATAAGATTAAAAGTATGCTATCCAGCTTCAATGCTCAAAAACAACTGGTGTTAATTTTACCTATGTGTAAACTATAAAAGTTCTTTACCTACAGACTTTATGTTTTAAAATTACTATGCCTGTTTTATATTGTCTACAGTAAATTAAAGGGTTGTAATTAACTCATTTAAGTACAGTTATCTTTCTATATAAAGCCATTTTCAAATAGCCAGGTAGTGTTTGTCTGTCATTACATTGAGTGCAATTTATTAAGCTGCATGGCAAAAATATGTATTATGTAAATAAAGCAGGCTTACTAAATATATTAAGTGCCATTTGTCATTCTTTACATCACAGCTTTAAAATGATACTCTAAATCAGGACAAAGGTTCAGGGAATGTCTGTCATATCTTACAACATCCTACCTGGACAGTGTCTGAATGCAGATTATGACTGCGGCAAAGCTGCCCAGCCCTCCATTGGGCAGGTGCCTACCCGAGATACACCTTGCCCTGTATTGAATATCAAGGGGCAAAGCCTGCACTTCTGGTTTCCTGCCAGTTGCTGGGCTAAGCAGGCCCATACCCACTCAGAATTCTACCTCTGCCATAGTATGTGGAGAATCAGCACACTACCAGGAGAGGCTGTTACGTGCATTATCACAGTAACTATGGTTGTGCTGAAAGGAGGGGTAGGTGCTATTGAGTACCAGGGTCCCCTGAAATTTTGTAGCAGGCTTCCAAATGGGGTGGTGAGATAATAATCTGAAACTGAAATTATCTTCAAGGAAACACTTTCTGGAGGGGGAGATTAATCCTAGGGGTCTTCCAAAAGTTTGTGGAAATGTGTATTTAAAAAAAAATGATTCCAAGTTTTTTGCACCAATATAAAGTTATCTTGTAATTCTGTTTCTTTCCATGAACTTTTTTGAAGTACTATTAGGGCAGCAGGAGTTGAAGCTTCATCCTTTCGGGGTTGAAATCAACAGCTACCCAGCTTCTGGTCCTGCTGTGCAAATGTAGCACCAGAATACTACCTACTCTGCCTGTAATCTCAGTTGTACCCTCCAACTGGACTTACTATGCAACAACACATAAAAACTCATGCCTTCAATATGAGAATATTAACTATTCCATGAATGATTCTTGAATTGAGCTTTCCTAAAATGGAATTATTCAAAATAAAGTTTAAAATGCAGCATTCTCTAAAGAATATTCATTATGACTGGATTTGAGCAATGACACATTGCAGATTTTGTATATTTTGTTCTACTCATGTGTGGTATTTTGCTGTTTTGTACCACTCAATAGATTCCTGTAACTTTACATAAATGTTAATACTTCCAATAAAAAAAAAACTCATTCCTAACAAATAAGATGAATCCTATTTGTAGTTGGGAAACTCACAAGTCACAGATCTCTAGACTCCAGTGTGTGAAATAATACGTTATAATATTAAGACCTTAATACCAAGTAAGTCCACCCATTCAATAAACAGGTTTTTTCTTAATGTGCCAAAGCCTCTTTTCTGACAGTATTTTTCAGTTATACTTGTGTACTACCAGTCCTAACAGTTTACAAAATAAATTATGAGAAAACTATGCCAACTAAGTTATTCAAAAGGTACTTCAAGATCATGTCTTTGCCTTACCATCACCACTGTGGGTATCAGCAATTTTAGTTCCTGAAAAATTTGTTCTATTCAGTCTTCTTCTTGTAAAAATTTTAGGACTAAATAGGTTTCTTAGATTCTAAGCTATGGGCTACTTAAGAAAGGGGAGCTTATCTTTTTTTTTTTTTAATCCCACTGTCTGTTATATAATATATGCATGGGTGTGGTATGAATGAAAGACCTGAGAAGCTTACATCCAAAACATTTAATAAAGCAAGTAATGAAAAACTCCAAAATCACAAGATTATAAAGAATATGCAATCCATCTGGGATTTATTGCATTTAAAGAAAGCAGATTATTAAAACAGTAGGTACGATAAATACAAGTAAGAAAATAATTTTAAATTTCAAACAAAAAACCAAAGTGAATCAGGGACAGAATTCAATCAAAAAGAATAAGCAATGTAAAGGCAGTAAAGTAATAAAATCAGTTAGTGCTTAATTAGACTTGGGGAAGTGGGGGACAACTGATTCTATCTCCTAAGTTTCCCAGCTATGTTTGAGGACCGAAGTTACTTTAGCAAGTATGCTTTATAACAGTTAGAAATACAATCAAGATGTAAATCTGGTTTATTTAAAGTTAAAGTTGTTTGCTTAGTGGTACATAAAAGGCTTAAGAAAATTCAAGTTTAACAAAAAATGGAAGTGTAATCAAAGAAAGTGCACTTAAAGCTGTTTGCCAGCAATTAAAAAGTAGCTTCTATACTGCTATTTGATGACTTTTCCATCATAAAAAGAGCATAGTAATAAACAGTTCTCTTTCAAAGAAGCACTATAGATTTTAAAATAAAACATAATAACCCCCAATGATGACCCTTTGCATTTTCATCTGCCTTCTTTTAGTGGCTTTTGTAAACCCTCACCAGGAGTGAATGTTCTTTTAGATATGATTGTGGTTGCAATTCCATTTTTTAAAAATTCACATTAACTCCACAGTAGAGAGTTGTGACATGTGCATGCATGTGTGTGTATATATTCTTTATTATATAAAACACCAAAGTATAAAAGTTCCCAAATAAACTATCATTTATGTTATTCTCACAGTAGATATGTCATCTCATTCTCACAGTAGACTGTCAACTCAATAACTGGACCTAAAATGACAAGAGTACTTTTGCTTAAAAAAAAAAAAAGTGAGAAAAGTTCACTGTACATTCTACATATATTATGACAAATACACCCAAACTCCTCAGAAGCAGTGACATTAATTTACTTGTACCTTCTAACAGTGCTTATGGGAAGTACCAAAATCTAAAGTAAACCAAGCCGAGTAGCTGAATTTATGAAAACCACTCTACCTGATGAACATAAGCACAGAAGAGTGGGTGCCACCTAGTATTTTCCACCAGCAAGATGAGAATTAGTTAATCCCTGCGGAACTTTGAACCAGGTAGGAATGAAAGGCGCATTTATCTCCAAACCCAGATATTGTAACTATGCCCAAGTATACACATACTTGGGAATTGGGATGAGGGATTACACTTCTGAATAAATAACTAGTCAGTTACATTTTCATCCAGCCAACAACCATTCCTCCTCCACTTAATATACACCATGCAGTTTTTAAGTCTTAGCAAATACATTCTTCAATGCCATAAAAGCTGGTCGTTTTAACATTAACATTTTACTGAAGTGATATTAAAATAATTTAGCAAATGATCCGCTTTTAACAAGATGATTCAAAACCAACAAGCATTACTAAAGCTGTTAGGAAACAACTTTGGCCTCGTATTTTTGCTAGTTTTACAATATTTTACTTCCCTTAGTGATGTTCAAGTATAACAGGTTTAGAGTTATGAGTGCTTTACATCCCAGAGAAGCAGAGGGACACCCAAATAATAACAGGAAAATATTTTTTTTCCAACTCTCCATCCGTAAGCCAGAATTGGACTATCCCTTAATGCAGCCAAACTTTTACTGGCTGCTATGTGCCAGGTACTGTATTAAATGCTTTCACATGCCTTGGGAGCTTTATTCTCATAATTGTCAGTAGGGAAGGGAGTGACCTGGATCGCAGCCGTTTGGAGTGAGCTACACCTTGACTGTGGTGGGAAGCGATGAGTGGAAATGGACAGGATAAATCTGTACTCCTTGGGAAAATGCCTATACTTCAACACAAAGAAATCTCCTCGTTTACATCCCATTGCATCTCAAATCAGATCTTAAATGTTTCCCCTAAGCTACAGTGAGTAAAAAGGAAAGTCACCAGCTGCACTGCAATAAAAGAATGTAAATATGTTCCACTTTCTCAGAGTAGTTTCCTCGGGCTTTGTCCAACGTAATAAGCCAAAGGGTCTCCATCAGTGTCTGATGAATCATTAAAAGTATTCAGTGTTCTGAAAAGCAAATAAAACTCTAGGTATTTCATGTTTACATCCCAGGGAGGGTACTTCAGTTCATCCACTACTTTTCTACAGGATGAAACTCAGGCGGTCTAGCAGAGACCAAGGACTAAAATAGTCAAAGAAGCATATGGTGTTCACATTAACAGATTTTTGTTTAACAAAACTTGTCTGATACAAACCTCCTGTATGTAGTTCATGAATTTATTGTGTAATCATCAACTCACCACTTTTAAAAGAAAGTTTCACTTGAATCTTATTTTATCAAGTTTTTTTAAAGATATCTACTTGAGCATTTGCATTAGCAGTATTAATCAACCTGAGAATTAGAAAAAAAGGTGCAAACGTAATATCTGCCTTTGGCACAAGGACAAGTAACTGGTGCAGTCCAGCTCTAAAAGGTAACTCTTTAAGTAGTAATGTAATGCTTGGTCTGCCTCTGCTACATTGTGATTCACATACTGCTTCCCAACTGTTTAGAAATCTGTACTGATTTAACATATAAAAGAAGAAAAAAAATGAATATGTGGTTTAGTTACCTATGTTTTGATTTAAGTTCAGAACCATGAAAACAGACAAACAGATTATCCTACCGGAGTACTAGAACTAAGAGTCTAACCAGATTACTCATTACACTTGAGTTGGGCTCAAAGAGAGTTAAAATATAGCAATCAAGGAGAGTGCCAGGTGATGAGTTTCCATCCCTCTTGGTAAACAGCTTTAACAGTTCTGGAAACTTTCAAATGTTAACCTGGCAGGGAAGGATAGTTAATTATAACTTAAAATAGAGACACAGGAAGCACGATACTATATTCACATTAATCCACAGATGTAATTTCTATCAAACACAATTTCTAAAAAACACCAAGTTTAAAATTAAGATTTGTGGTGTTAAAAAAGAAAAGGCAATTTGGTAGCTGGGCCCTTTTCCCTAAGAACACAATCAGTTGGCAGAGGTAAGATGCTAGTCCCTCATCACTGACCACCGTATAGCCACTGTGCACTCAGGTGGCTTCGTGCGGAGGCGCGCGCAGGACGTGGGGGTCCTGCCTGTAAGGCATTGTGGGCGTCACAGTTCTGTGCACTTCATTAAGACCACTCGCCCTCAAACCTAACCAAAATGAGTGTTGCTCCTGACTTGGGAAGTATTTGATGAAGGTGGTAAATTCACAAAGTATATTAATAAATGCAACATGATTTTACACTGTAAATGTCCTAAAAGTTTAGTGTTTCCAGATACATACATCTTTCCTGAAGTAAAATTTCTAAAAGCCTTGTCCTTACTACCAATTTTTCCAATAATCTGTTTTATTAAAGACATGATAATAAAAGGCTAGAGCAAGAAGCCATTCCAAAACAGAGGATAAAGTGTTCCTGAAGTACTGAATCATTTTTTTCTTCTATATCATTTTTTTGACATTTTACAAATCTCTCCTATGTGTTTGTTCTAGGCTTCAGCATATATATTCCATATTCTAACTTATTTTTTAATTGACAAACAAAAATTGTATATATTTAGCATGTACAACATGTTTTGAAATATGTATACATCATAGAAGGGCTAAATTGAGCTAATTGACGTATGGATTATTTCACATACTTATCATTAGGTATTCCACATTAATGGCACTTGTTTTTCAAAATGCAACAGAATTTTAGGCACAATAGTCAGTTACTTCTGGCTCTGCTTTATAGAGAAAGGAGTATGGGCTGAAATCTCTGCACTGTCCAGATAGCGTTCTGCTGCTTTAAGAGAACTAGATGAGCTTTCACTGTGTGGAAATTTCTAGAAGAGACCTTTTAAAATTTCACAAACATAACCTAAGTACAAATCACCCTAGTTCTAAATGCTGGATCTGGAGTGAGCCTGGGATGTGCACGCAAAAGTGACATTCTGATATCAAAAATAACGATACAGTTTGACTGTCCCTTCTAAGTGGCTCTGCACCCCGAAAAGGTGCCATGTGCTTTCACCGGAAGTACCTTGCCACAGCCGCATTTCTGGGCTGCACTGTCAGTAGCAGAAACCCTTGTTTAGAGCTTGCAGTGTAGCTCCCTTTTCTCCTGCCTGGAAGAAGCATCAAGTTACTACCCTGTAGAGATACTTCCTTTTTCTATTTGGTTTATTTAAAAATCACCTACTCTGATTGACCTGTAAGAATGAATGATATAAAGAGCTATACAAATAAATTTTCTTTCAAGTTCATAAAATTAGTCATACTTTTTTGAAACAGGAGTTAATGCCGAGAGTCCGGGAGAAGTTATCTACTGTTTAGAAGGAAATGGAGCAGCACCGAATGGGTCTAATTCAACTGGCTGGGACTGCTGGGACTGATGTGGACTGATGCTTTGCACCACGAGTTCTGTAAAGGGCACCGCACCAAAGTCATCCATTTTCAATGCCTCCGCACTGTGGAATGACCCATGGAGTGAATTCTGTCGTGGCCGCCCGGGCAGGATGGTGGTGTGGTCGGCACAGATGTCGCCCAGGCCCTGATGGGACGGGTGCCAGGGCAGGTCTGGAGGATGGAAGGGCTTGGCTCCAAAGGGGTCCAACAGACTCTCCTCGGGCTGTAAGACATTCCCCCTCTCCTTCCCATCAGGCAGGGCCACGCTGATGTTCTCCTTGGAGTCCGAGATGGTTAGAAATTCATTGCTGCTCTGAGAGTCTCGGCGGCCCACTTTCTTGTGCCTGCGAGCCCTCTCTGGAGTGCGGTAGGTAGGCTTCAGGGTCTTCTTGGTGCTGGTCGGCGTGCCATGATGCCGCTTCCCGTTACTCTTGGACATATCCTGCTTTGTGCGCCTTTGGCGAGAGGACAGTTTCTGTAAGCTGCGCTGTTTGACTTTTTGCTGCTGACTCCCAGTTACTTCCTCAAAGGGCACAAGGCCAAAAAGGTCCTCGGTGCTTTCACTTTTACTTGTTGATGTGGGAAAGGGCTGAAATGGAGTGGAGCCAAAGACATCTACGCTCTGGGGGCAGCCAGGGGGAGTGTGGGCCTGGGGCGCCGGCACGTGGCGCTGCTGCACATCGACCTTCTTGCTAAAGGGAGCCTTCGTGAACACATCAAATTCCTCCTGCTCTAGTCCCACAGTGGGAGACCTCTGTTGACCCAGGTTCTTTGCGTTGTCTCCCGGCTGGGGCGGTTGAGCATGCACTGCAAAGAAGGGGACAGCGCCAAATACGTCAAACTCCTGTTTGGGAGTCTCCAACCCAAACCTAGAGGGCAGCGGGGTGGGGGTGAGGAGTGCTGTGGCCAGGCCTTGAGTTGGTCCACCGCCAGGTTTGTCTTTGCAGACAAGGCTCTCCCCACTGTACTTTGCTTTAGTCTGCTCATAATCAGAATCAGAGCTGTGTTTCTCCTCTTCTTCCTCATCCTCAGAATCCATAAGCAGAGGCCGATGGCCCAGGTTTTCTGGTTCAGTATCCTCATCATTAAAATCCCCTTGCTCTCCCTGAACTTCTTCATCCTCTTGTTCTTCCTCTTCACTGCTCTTAGGAGAAGGGGGATCTGATTCAAAATCACTTTCAGATTCATCATTCCCCTTTTGCACTTGACCCTGTAATGATGAATTCTCTGAGCTTTTCTTTCCGGTCCGCTGATCTTTACATACCAGACTTGCTTTTCCATTCCTGATGGGGTTTGCAGTGCTATGTTCTAGATTCATGGATGAATATTCAACTCTCTTTTCGGGAGAACCTGCAGGTTCAAAGAAAAATTAGAACAATATTCAATGCATTTAAAAATCTATCTGCACTAAACAGTACTAGGCATTAGTACATGATATTACATATCCCTCACACCAGTTTCCTTAGAGGAAAAAGTATTGTCAAGTCTTTTTCATTAGCCTTAGTGGACACATTTGTCCTCAACCTAATGGCTCTTTAATGAAGCCAGACTCATCATATCTACCTCCACACTGCCTTACGTATTACAGACCTTCAGTGACGGCTAATTTTTTATTTAATAGCACTCAGAATATGACCCTAAAAGGAGCAGACAAGCAAATTACTTCTCCCCACCATGAAAATAAAAAGTATTCAGCTCATTCTGACTGCTCAGATTTCACCTTCATCAAACCTTAAAGTTTTCCCATAAACAAGCATGAATGGATTTTCTGCTTCGTTAAAAGTTTCACGAAATTGGCCGGCGCCGCGGCTCACTGGGCTAATCCTCCGCCTAGCAGTGCCGGCACACCAGGTTCTAGTCCCGGTCGGGGCGCCGGATTCTGTCCCGGTTGCCCCTCTTCCAGGCCAGCCCTCTGCTGTGGCCCGGGAGTGCAGTGGAGGATGGCCCAGGTGCTTGGGCCCTGCACCCCATGGGAGACCAGGAAAAGCACCTGGCTCCTGGCTCCTGCCATCGGATCAGCGTGGTGCGCCGGCCGCAGCGCACCGGCCGCAGCGGCCATTGGAGGGTGAACCAACGGCAAATGGAAGACCTTTCTCTCTGTCTCTCTCTCACTGTCCACTCTGCCTGTCAAAAAAAAAAAAAAGTTTCACGAAATTTTTTAAATTCGTGTTCTGATAGTATCTTTTGAACTGTATCTTCCATCACTAAAGCTAAAGACAAGATACTAAACTGAGACTGAAAGGACATCAACCTCCTCTCGAGGGACACATCTTTGTTTAGCTGTCATATTTATAGAAGTGGTCTTCAAAAAATTAATGGAAAATGCATGTTATGAAAAATTTTTGCATTAAAGTAAGCTTATCTTTTGATTCAACTTTCCCACATATTTTCTGAAGTTTCCTGGTACTATTAGGCATTCCGTTGAAATTATTCTGCCTTTAGAAACAAATCTAAGCCATCAGTATGTTAACAGTGTGCCACGCAATAAGAATACACCAAAAAACACAATGCTTTGCAATTTAACTGTATGGTCTATAAGAAAGAAATACAGTGTACACACTTACATGAAAATATACTGCCCTCCCAGTATAGTCATGTACTGATTTTTTAAAGGTGAAGATCAATTTGTATTGATCCAACCACACATTCTCATTCCTGCCCCCTTTCACTTCAAATAAAATCAGACATTTTCAAAACAATTAAATGGTCTGAAGTCTGTAATCATGAAAAAATAATTAGGTAGGAGGTACAGTTCCTTTCCCATTATTAATACGGCAGTCTCTGACATGACACCTTGGAGTATTTTCTCCTCTTTGAAAAGTCAGAACCATTGTCATCCCACCTCTCTGACTGCTGGGACTTTGCTTTTACCAACATTCCCTTAAATGCATAGGTCCCGCAGATTCTATCTTTGCCTGTGTTTCTCTGCATGCACTCTCTGGGGTCTTAACCACCTGGGTGGTGACTGCAAGGTACACCAACAGTTTTGGCTGGCTCTAATCTCTAACCCATTATTCCTAAGTTCCAGACAAAAATCTCTAATACTTACCATGAATACATTTTACCTGTCTATTGAGAAGAGGATCCTACTGTTACCTCAAATTCAGTCATTTCAAAAGACACCATTAAAATGTGCGCCTCCACAGTTCCCTGCAAACGACTGAGCGGCACCTCCATCTACTCAGATCCTCAAGTCACCAAAAATGTGGAAGTCATCTTCCCTCCTCCCACCATTCACTGCTTTAAAACCTAATGAACCTGTTCCCCTCCTCCCTCTGCTTGCCATTTCATTCCTTGTTGTCTGATTCTTTCATTATCTCACAGATCAACTCTAAGCTTGCCTCTGCCTCAAGTATTATCCTTCAGATGGATTCTTTACATGGTCACCAGAACGATGACATTAATCACACAACTACTGTTTTCCAGGGTCTCTCTAAGAGCCTGACCCTTCACAAGGCGCAGGGTGCTCTTTGCTCACAGGGCTCCATCCCACCACATCAGCAGCCTCAGCCCGATGCCTCCCTTGGGTAGTCTCTTCATAGCCACACCCACATGCTCCCTACCTAAAAACAAGAACCAAATAGATGGGATGGCTTGTTCTGAGCTGTCTTGCTCTTTAATTTCAATTTTTGCTGTATTAAGATCTGTCTCCCTTTGCAATACTGTACCTCAGTATGAGTGCCCTTCTACAACTCCCACTGGACAGCCTGATGAACTTAACACATGGCCTAGCCTTTCAGAGCCACTCCTGGGGGGGGGGGGGGGGATAGGAACTACTCTAAACATGATGCTCCTAATGAAACTAGTACAAACCCTAACTGTACTACCTACTCTACTCTATTGCAATTATGTGTCTACTTGTCTAGTATTGCTATTTATCATTATCTTGTTTATCATTCATCTCTGTACTCTAGCATTGTAAGGTATCAGTATTTGTTGAAACAGTAAGTGACTACTTGGAAATCACCAACTATATTCAAACTACATTAAGGGATGTGATAATAAACATAAATTTAATATAATAAAGGAATATAATCAAGATAAATTCTTTACATCTGGAGATATTTTAGCTCAGAATTTAGTCACTCACATTTACTTAATTCATTCAACAATACATTTATTTCAAAGGGCACTTTACTACGTGCTCTCTTCTGATTAAGCCCTGGTGAACACCACAGACATGGGGTTCACAATCAGAGGCTGTAAGTAAATTTAGAAATAACAGAGCAGAAGGAATGGGTGTAAAAACCCACTCCGGGCAGTCAGCGAAGGCCTCCCTAAGGAGAGGACGGTTAAGCCCAAACAGGAGAAGGCACCAGTCACACACAGGGTATTTGAGCCCCTCGCTCACTCTGCCTCAACACGGGCTAGTGAGACTACAACTCAGGGAGCAAACAGGACGTGGACAAGATGAAGGAGAGGAGACTGCAGCAGGCCAGACCATGAAGGAGTCAGATTTTAAGCAAAATCCGGTGGGTAGTGGAAAGCCACCGGAAGGCTTTAAGATGGGTGCCATAATCAGATATTTCAAAAAGACCACGGACATGTAGGGAAGACTAGAGGAGGAGTGGCAGAAGTGAGGGATCATGGAAGAGGAAATGGTAATTCAGGTTAGAGCTCGCAGTACTGGGTGGATAGAAGTGGGAAAATTTGCTTGTTTTTTTAAGGATTTATTTATTTATTTATTAGAAACGCAGAGTGAGCGAGAGAGAGAGAGAGAGATAGAGCTCTTCCATCCTCTGGCTCACTCCCCATATGGCAGTAATGTCTGGGGCTGGTCCAGGCCAAAGCCAAGAGACCAAAACTCCACTGATTCTCCTTTATGGGTGGCAGGGTCCCAAGTACTTAGGATATAGAAGTGGAAAAATTTTGAAAGACATTGGAGAGGAAAAGTCTGGATGGAAGGAAGGGTAAGTAAAAAACAAGTGGGAAAGTAGAGATGATCAAAAATTTGGTTTTGGAAACACTAAACTTGATAACTAAACAAGGCAACATTTATGTGCAGAGCAGGTATTCCTGACATGAGCAAAGTGCTAAGTTTTTTGGACTGAAGAAAACAGATTTGCAAGTTATCATCACGCAGAGCAAGGACACAGCCAAGTGACTAAAGGGCATTACCTAGAAAGAAAGTGGTGAAAAACTGAACCCTAAGTTATAAAGCATTCAAATGTCAGCAGAGGAAGAACCTTCAACCTATTAAGTACCAGCCAGAGAAGAGCAGCAAAGCCAAGGAAGTACAATGTCATGGAAGTTGGGAGAAACAGTATCTCCGGGGGGGCCAACACAACAGAGCTGATGACGGAAAGTGGCCCCTGGATCTGTCAGCAACAGTGATGAGTGGGAAAGAAGGTGGAAAATTCCACAGGTTACACTGAAATGCAAATATAATCTTCTGCTGGTTCCTTACAACCAGCCCAGAACTATATGCTGTAGGTGTTATCCCACCCACACAGAGCCACAACGTGCACCCCACGCACCTGTGCATGGTCATGACTGGTTATATTCTGCTTCCTGAAGTGTACTCTGCAGAACACTACGGCCATGACAAGAGCTACACGAGTGGTTTCAGGTGACTGAGTTGAGCAAATGACGCACTCTACAGTCCTCCTCTACTCCAATTCAGCTGGAAAAGCTCATTAAATGTGCTGATGAGTCTTACACACAAAAGAATCCATTTTAGGAAACTTAAGATTTTATGAAGCCTTCACTATACTTTTACAGGCAACACCTGCTAAGCTCTGTGAACAGTTATGCACAAAGCACCATGGGAAAATGCTGCTCTATAACTTCTGATTTTTAAAGAGCTATATTTGAGAACAGTTTAAGAATTGAAAAGGGACTGCCTTCAAAAAGAACAAGACAGACAATAACCTATACCATCTTTGTGGTTTCAGATTACATCTCCAAAAAGTACAGGCAACTGGGGAAATTTTTGGTGTGGAATGACTGGCTGTCTCCCCTTCATAAAATTAAAATAGCCATCAAAAATATCCAACAAGTTCCAGCTCTTGATTCCAATTTCCTGCCAATGCAGACCCTGGGAGGCAGTAATTATGACTCAAATAACTGGGCTACTGTCCTCCTGGGGAAGACCCTAGATTTTTCCCAGCTCTTGGCTTTACTGTATCTCAGCCCTGGCTACTGCCAGAATTTGGGAAGTAAACCAGTGGTTCACTTTCTCTGTCTCTCTCTCTCTCTGCCTCTCAAAAAATTAGTTTTCAAATGTATACAGATGCAGGCACTTGGCACAGTAGTCAAGCAGTGGGTGCAGCATTCTGGCATAGCAGGGAAAGCCACCATTTGCAATGCAGGCATCCCATGTGTGTGCTGCTCCACTTCTAATCCAGCTCCCTGCTAATGGCCTGGGAAAAGCAGCGGAAGACGGCCCTAGTGTTTGGGCTCCTGTTACCTACATGGGAGACCTGGATGAGGCTCCTGGCTCCTGGCTTTGGCCTAGCACAGCATTGGCAGTTGAAACCATCTCCAGAGTGAACTAGCCGATGGAAGATCTCTCTCTCTCTGTAACTCTTTAAAATAATAATAATAAAAAAAAATGCTGCTTTAGAAGCCTGCATGCCATATTGAGGTGCCTGAGTTCAAATCCCAGCTCTGTTTCTGATCCTAGCTTTCTGCTAAAGCACACCCTGGGAGGCAATGGTGCTGGCCCCAGTATTCAGTCTGTGCAATCAACATGGGACACAGATTGGGTTATAGGTTCCTGGCTCCATCATGGCCCAGTCCCAGCTGTCTGTCGCGAGTATCTAGGGAGTAAACCAGTGGCTAGCAGAGATATCTGTGTGTGAGTATGTCTCTCTCTTTCTCTCCCTCTTCCCTACTCTCATATTTGGAAGTGAACCAGTGGATAGATAAATATCTCTCCTTTTCAAAGATAAATAAAAATATCCAAATTATTTTTATCCCCATATTCTTGCAAACCACACTAACATTCAGACGTTTCTCTATTTCCCCTGCATAAACCATTGTAGTCAAGCAGGGTGAGAGCACCTACCATGCTGACCCCCAGCAAGAACAGTTTTCATACACGTGGCCCTCTCTCTCCAGCATCTCCTGCTAAGGGAAATTTAAATTCCAGGCTGCAACAGGCCTAGAGAGGGTTCACTTCCCTACAGTAACAGCAGTTTATGTACTCATCCCTCTTTACTGAAACCATAGAAGAACTGAGAAAGAAAAATAAAAAAACACTTTAATACACCCTAAGGCTTTTAAATCCTGTCCCATAGCCAGAACATAACTATCAAAATAAGTATTTCAAATCATAAAGTTGGTTATACAATGTACAATGTATAGTACTTTAAAATGTGACCTCTAGCTAAGAGTGTCATGAATTTTCATTATTCATTACTTTGCCTCAACATATTCCTATTATTTAAAAAATGTTGGATGTTCCTACTTTTTGCTTCTGGAGCCAGATTGCTTCTTCCCAGTTGTCAGATTAAATAATACGCATTTGATTTACTATGAAATTTAATCAGGATTATTTTACTGCTGCAGTTAATTTCCCAAAAGTATATTCTAAATATGTTGCTTTTCAATATATCCTAAATCCTAATAATCCCCATACTGACTAAGGTTTATATTATTAACATGAAAGTGGCTGTTTTTCAAGTAAACTGCAGGAGAGAACAGCACTAAGAATGTACACTTACAACACAAACAAATGGCTAGAATGTGCCTGGGATGGTTACTAGGTTACATCTTTTATTGTTAATTTATTTTACAAAACATGGTAAAATTTCATATACTGATTAATTTTTTTATTTGAGGCTCTATGTAGGCATTCCTCTCTCCTTAAGCTAACTAAAGTAGAATGAGGTCTTTGTGGCTACTAATCAGGATATTCTTTATTTCTCCTTTGTGCCTGGGACTACAAACTAATAATTTTAACTTTCTGAGTAATTTAGCAAGTTGGATTTTAACCAGTGATACTGAAGCAAGTGTACTGATTTAATAAACAAGTGTCATGCAAAAATATGTGATCACTAGTATCTATAAGCAAATATTAACAAGAGTTAATCAACAGAAAGTTATTTCAAATGCTGTTCCTCAAATAACTTATTTAGTGAGAAAATTAGCAAGTAACTTACATTAACATCCTTGACATATTTATACATAACATATGGAATCAAATTATTTTAAGGTAGCTCAAGGACAGACAGAATGTTTTTCCACTTTTAAATAACAAATATTTTCACAGATTCGATATTGTGGACTGAATTACTACTATTACCTTATTTTCAGAACCTAGACCTATAAAACCACAGACTTTTACAAACAGAAAAACTTCAGAGATAATGTAATTAGTATTGGTCTAAACCATTTAAAGTAGAACTGAAATCTTTAACTGAAAGTATACATATATTTAATAGAACTTGCAAAGAATGAAGGTCTTAACATCTTGTGCTCTTTCAATTCTTTACTTCTGTTAGATTCCACTGTCGGAAATACACAAATCCTCATCTCCGAGGTAGGGGAGCGACTGCTACAAACAGCCAAAATTACTCAGAGTCCAATCCTAAGAATAGGTGAGTGGTTAAGACAGACAATACGGATCTGTGTAAATTATTGAAGAACAATGATGGGTTATGAGGGCCCACATTACTTTGTGTAGCATGTAAACTGTCTCAAGGAAATTCCAAGTTCAAATACTGCAAGAAATGTTACAGCAATGGAGGTATCAGTGAAGTGTTAACAGAACTGCTACTTATTCACACACATAAACTCTGATTGATTCTCACTGCTATACTTCATATACCCCACGCAAAGAATTGCAAGATAGTCACTCAAAGCTATCCGTCAACTAACAAGCATTTACTAAGTAAGTTAAATATAACACCAACCATTTAGTAACTGTCCATAATATATATATATTCCTTCACCTGCAGGGGACACTAAAGGCAAATGTCCTTTGATGGCTGTGTGGTTATTTGGAATCATGCATTATTTAGTATTTCACTTTCTTAAAGCACAGGTAACAACAATAACCACCTCATAGAGCTGTAGCAGAGGTTGAAATGGAAATACATG